ATGCTGGCGTCCCGCCACCTCTTCCCCATCCAGGTCATTAAGTGGCGTCCCTGCGACGACTACCTCGTGGTGGGCTGCACGGACGGCTCCGTCTATGTCTGGCAGATGGACACAGGTGAGCCTGATCTCATCAGCCAAATGACTGTGCAAAAAACATCACTGTGCCCCCACCATGAATGGGGGTGTCCCCCATGCTTTAAGATCTTTTTAGACATTTTAAGATGATGTATTTCTAAGAAAAATGTTTTTGATACGAAGTATTCAAGGAGTCTGAGTCTATCGATCCGCCTTGGTCTCTTTCTACCATCCATCGTTTGAGAAACTTAGTGATTAGCAATAGCGAGCGATTAGATGTTACATCTTTGCAACTGCGCACGGCAGTTCTAAATGACAAGCGATCAGACTGACGCGTACGCATGCCTCGTATTTGCGCGTTTCTCTATGCAGAGCAGTCGTGGCCTTAAACTCACTTGTTATTAGTCTGAAACACTGTTGTAGATTTTTTAAATTGTAGAATTATTTTTTTTCCGACCAGCTCAACTGTCAAGTTTATTTTGTTTTTGACAGCTAAGCGACCCACCGGGAATTCCCCCCAGTGTCCTGATTGGTTACTCTGTGGGGTGGGCTCACTGCTATCATCTATTATTCTTGTCAGGGATCTGGGATCTGGTGAATTTTAAGGGCACAAAATTTCCTTCAGGTGAAAATTTTTGGTTAGAAACATTTCAGTGGCCGTTACTGAACATGATGTAATACACATTTTGACCAGCGGAGGTGCTAGTACTAATACATTAACTGACATCAGTGAATAAAAAAAACTTTCCTAATTCTGTCCTGCCTTTTAAAATACCATTACAATGAATCCTTAGAAAGTATTTCTTCAGGATTTGCCCTTGTAAACCAGTGTCCCATGAGCTATCCATCACTCACTGTCTATCCAACAATGTCCTATTAAAACGACAATAGCTGTGTTCTCGTTCAGTTTCCTCTTTCTTTATAGCGCTTTTGTATGATGATTCCTCCTGCTCTGTTTTAGCAATGTGCTTAATAATTGATGGGCATCATTTTTCATCCTTCTGTCGGACAGTCACTGAGCCGCACAGCACTCTTCATTGTTAAAATTTTAATCTCCCAGCTCTGCTAGAGTGGAAGTTGCAGGGACTGTGCACTTACCAAACATTTCCTAAATATTGAATAATGCTGCTGCATTGAGTCTCTTCCTGGAGCTGCATCAGGCCCATTAGTGTGTTTATATACGCTCTTAAAGCTGGTTATGGAGGACACTGAGCTGAGTAGCGTGTGCACTAGATTGGCAGTTAGAGCCTCAGAGAGGGGATTTGAGCCCTTGGAGGTTTACTGATGCCTGAGGCCTCGTTCAGAGCCTTTCTGGAGATCCTGCCTGAGAGTGATCTCTTTTTCAGCTGGTTTCTGTTTGGGGCATCCACATCGATTTGTAATTTTAAACACAGTTCTGCTCTTCGTATTTTAGGTGCGGTACCTGCTTAATGAGGGCACATTTAAAGGCACCCACATAGGTTTTGTTTATGACTGCATGGTTGGCTTTGATCTGCGATCTCAAAAGTTATGATGCAGCATGTTATGGTAGCAGTAACGTGCGATTGCTCTGTCAACAAAACATTCAAAACATCCACAGTGTGCTCTGAATCCGGAATTTTCAGATCCTCGTTGAGAGCATGGAATGTTTGATCTCTTAAACTAGGTGACTACTTTGGTATTAACCAGTGATGCTTTTAGTAAACCAAAAGAGGATTTTTTTTGAAAGAGGGTACGTTGGATTCATGTAGGTGTTGTGCCAACCAGTAAAATGTGTCCCTAGAAAGTTTCTCTTCAGTCACATATATAAAAAAAAAAGCCATGATTTATATTGTGGAAATACTATTTTCTGAAGAGGAAGACTTTCCTTGTTGGTCTTTCCTCAAAATAATGATGAATACTGACATAGTGGTGAAAAGTGATTAGCTTTAATTCAGCAGTTTTCTCCATTTACGATGGTGATGGTGCTGAGGGACGTAGAGTTCAGAGGATTAGTAAACATGGAGCATGAGGTGATGGGGCACTGGGTGGGGGGGGCAGCATGCTGGGTGGGTAATGCTGAAGCGGCCGAGGGTCCAGTGGCTTGCAGAGGATTTGGGCGTCCAGCTTTTTCATAGGCCTCACTCAGAGCCTGTTTAGAAACCTGCCACTCAATATCGAATCAGTATTGAATACAATCCCAACGCCGCAATTCACCACAAATATTTTTTTTCTCTGAAGTGGAGAAGTAAAAGGAGAATGCTCATGTGATTTGAGGCCTTGCTAAAAGAGAAATTTCACCAGAATTGGAGTATGGCGTACCACACAGGAGTCATGACTTTGCTGTTCACAGTGTGCTTTCAGAATGCTTTTTTATTGAATTTTTGTGCCAGAAATATTGCTTGAAGGTTGCTCCATCCATCCTTCTTCAATCTGCATTTTCCTGGTGAGGGTCCTGGTGTAAAATTGCTCTAGCTACTGCAGAAAAAAAAACATGCAGGTCAGCTTTGAGGAAATGGGTCATCAAGCTTTGATCTCTTCAAAGGACCTTCTGCTTTGTAGACTTTGAAAGTTTAAGTGAGTAAATAGATAATGGGGGCAGGAGATGAGGCTTGTGTCCAGTTGTGCTGTATCTGACGTCAGCGATTGCTGTTTAGGAGCGCTGGACCGCTGCGTGATGGGCATCACAGCGGTGGAGATCCTGAACGCCTGCGATGAGGCCGTCCCGGCCGCCATGGACTCGCTCAGCCACCCCGCGGTCAATCTGAAGCAGGCCATGACCCGCCGCAGCCTGGCGGCCCTGAAGAACATGGCCCAGCACAAGCTGCAGACCCTGGCGACCAACCTCCTGGCTTCCGACAACGCGGACAAGGTGTGGGATGCATGCAAGCTGAAAAAGCACCAACGTGATGGTTTAGCTTTTTGTACGGATTCCGTATCATATCATAGTCACAGTGCTGTTTTCATATTCTGTCCTCTTAGCCTTCGTGGCTTTTTGCCTATGGCTCCCCCTAGTGACCATACTGACTGTTGCGTGACACTTGCCATCCGTTACGTTCCCCCATTTTGTGGTTACATTTTGAAACGCTGTTACGTGTGATTCATCGGTATGCAAAATCTTTGAATTCCGGTACAATGATCTTTCGACTAAAAGGTAAAAATGGGATAACGAGCAGAAACAATCTGTTAATGAAAAATGTATGCAGGCAGTGTCCTGGGACAGTGTCGGCCCGGTGTCTGATCCTGCAGACAATTAGGTGCTGTAGTGACATACTGCGTGGCTCGCTGTTCCTGTTCGTCTGGTGATGATGGACCTCCAGAAGATGCTGTTCGGGAAACTGGGGGAATTGGACGGATGTATGGTTTAGGGCCTGTGTTTCCCAGCACTCGAATGGCTCATCCCAGGGTGCTGTTTGAGGCCATACTGGGAGATTGATATTAAAGCCAATCTGGATCGTCATGGATTTTACAATATTTACGCCCAGAACACTGCTTCCCAACCCAGTCCTCAGGGACCCACAGTCTTTTGTTATGTTTTCATTCCTGAAGTCTTGCCCTGTTTGTGGTATTGGGTGTTGTATCATGTTGGCACGGTCTGCTCTTAAAATGTGCTGGGGGTGTGGCTGAATACCATTAGTGCTTCTCTTTTTGTTTTTCTTTTTGACTTATTCTTCTACTGGACAGATGGGCATCCAGTCCATTCTCGCCCTTCCTTCACCTTTCTCTCCTCCCCTCTCATTCTTTCCTTGTTGGCTTGTTTGAATGTTTCCTGCGCTTATGTGCTGCTGTGAGACCAGCTTAAGTAAGAGCCTTCTGAAAGCTGACCTTAAGCTCAGAACACAGCTGTGTCTGTCCTTTTTGGCTGAGAACAAAGGTTACATCACCCCCCCTCCCCCCCGGCCTAGATTTCCCACATCCCTCTGAGGCCGTCCCCAGAATGTCGACCTTTCCGTCCCATTGCCGATCGCCGACTCTCATTAGTTTGATGGTGTGGCAGCGGTGACCTGTAGTGCAGATGTGGGATTGAGCAGCCGCTGATTCAGATACCGATCGCAGTGCGATGTGGGACGTGGTGCTGGGGCTGTCTGCCCTTTATCTAGGCTGGAGAAGTACAGGAAGTATAAACACCGTTGTGATGTGGGTGATGCAATAATCGCTACGTGTTAAGCATGCAGCTGGGAGCTGGTCTGCTTTTCATAAGGTTTTGTCCCTTGTTAGTTTACATTCTAACAACCTTTAAATGGAACTACCACTGGACCGACTCTGCTTCTCGTTTAGGCAGGTTGCTCACATTTTTCAGTTTACATATCATACATCTCTATAGTAGATAAGATATAGTAGTAAGTAGATATAGTAGTAAGACTGGACGATGTTCCTTCTCGATATTTTCGTGTGCGTGTGCGTGCACGCGCATGTGTATAATATATATCCATATTAGTATGCTTAATGTTCGATCTTTTTTAGGGGTCTAGATGTGTGTGATGTGTATTTCCTGAGCATCAGACCGGCATCTGAGTTAACTCCTTCAAGCCACCAGAAGACTTTCACTACACATTCAGTCCCTCTGTGTTTGTTTATTTTTTTAATGGTGAAAAATGCTGTTCCATAAAAATCCCCCACAAGGGTTATGTTGGGTTTAGTATAATTAATGGTGTCCGCTAACACACTCCACTCAAGTAGCTGCCTTATCGTGCCGAATGACTGATTTTTCACAGTGAGTTACTGGATTCCCTTCCATTGGGGGACAGGGACTGCTGACTGTGTAGCATTAAACAGCAGTCAGTTCGGCCTCTGTGCTGTGTTTAAATCAGATCTTTGTACCATGTAGATGCTCATTAATGATTAATATGTGGTTGAAGGCCTGCTCTCTTATCCAGATAAAAAGGCTGCTTTAGTCCATGTTTAAGATGCCATTATATGATAATGCCAGGCTGAAAGTGTGTGAGGGTCGTGGCATGGTTCTTCTGATGCAATGCATATTAATATTTTAAATGTTACTCGCCTTGTACATAATCTTTCTGCTGTCTTTTATGATGCTCGTATGATGCTTTTAAAAAAAAGAATTAAAGTTCTGTTTGGCCCAGGAGTAGGGGGGCTTACTGTAAGGCTCTCAGTTGGAGTCTGGAGATTAGCTTTTTGTATGTACACTGCTTATCTCGTCCCTTTGTTCCTCTGGACATTGTTCCTGCCTCTATCTGTGATGAGGGGAATCTTCTCCTTTGGGTCCTATGAGAAGGTGTCCGTCAGTTCTACATTAGTGGCTTTTCTGGTTCAGTCCAGTTTGTCCTCATTCAACAGATGACTTTGGTGTTTAACTTCCATCATCACAAATCCACCCTCCACATCTTCCTGCTTATGCATCCAATAATAATCTCAGGTTGCACAGGTGCACTGAGCTTATTGTGCTGAGAATACATAAAGGACTGCGTGCATGCGTGTGTGCGTACGTGTGTGCATGCGCAGGTGCATTTGTGCCCCTTTCTGCCCACTCTGCATTCAGTGACCTCATAAAGCCACCTTGAATATCCTAGACTGGGAAAAGCCTTTGGCTGCTTAGGCACTAACCTCATTTAGGGAACCAGACAGAGTAAGTGAAAACTTTCATATTCTGCAGACTACATTAGTTACAAGCTCAGCTTTGTGATGGTGAAAGTACATTGTACTGCAGACTATACTGTGACATTATAATGGTGCTTTTCCACTGCCACCAAGAACCAAATGGCACCGCAGACTGGTGGTTTTTTGTTGTAAATTATGCGAGCTGTACCCACGCTGACACAGTGTAACCAAACCGAGCTGGTTGCATCACCACCATTTGATTGTTCAAAATGCATGGAGATACCGATTGTTCTGTGCATGGATTATCTGAAGTAAAAAAGGGCATATTCTGTATATTATTCATTATTAGTAGTATTGCACATCGCAATGTATTGATGCATTCCCAATAATTTGGAACTTGAACCTTTATTATACTATGGCAGTACTATAGAATAGCTGAACGGAATGGATGTGTAATGCAAATTTACACACGCGGATGCTAATTCCGCTAACGTTTGGTGTGAACATGGCACAGCCAGTCTCGCAAGTGTGCTTGAAAATTAGGAAATTAGCACAAAGTAAATCATGATGTACATCGTGTGAACGGTCTCTTCAGTTTTACATCACTTGCTGTCCAGAGCCGACCCTTCTGCAGTGGAAACCCGAAGCAAGCTGGAACCGTGCTGTAACTAGTCTCTTCTCGGTATGGCTTGGGTATCGCTCAGTTCCTGTATACCAGTGGAAAAGCACCATAAGTCATGGGAAGCTCCTGTCATCTTCTGCAGTAATGGAGATTGACCTGTTGAGGGCAGCATACCTCCATCCACTTAGTATATCAAGTATTGCTTGTGATTAGCAGATCAAAATTGACTGATGGCAACATCCTGGCTAGTTATGGAATTCTGACTATTTCTAAAAAATTGCCTAGTGAGAAAGTGATGGTATCACTGGCCTATCTGCAGTTTGTTTGCAGTCGCTCTGTCTTTGTCTTGACTCCTTGCAAAAGCCTTTTTCTGATACAGGTGCAGGAATGCATCCATCATATTAGTGATTGTGAGAGAGAACAGAGTGTTTGTGTGAGATGGAAGACTTGTATTGTTTGCTATGATTGTTTCCGGATTGCTGGCGTCTGTGTCAAACAGTAGGAAATTTAGGGGACTATATCCTGTACAGCTGGAGACCAGGGGCGTTTCTAGCTATTGCAAAGATAGGTTTACCTGGGGCTTGACTTTCTTGTTTTATTTTTTCGGAAGATTGGCATCGGGGATAAAACTCTGGGTTAGTGATCGGACCTAACAACGCCCCTGTAGGAGACTAGATCCTGAATTTATTAATATTATTCATTCATAGTCACATTATAAATCTTTAGCGGTATTTCAAGTAGCATAAATTGTTGTCAAAATTCTGTCTTAATTTTGATGAAAGTGTTTAATTTGAGGGTAAAAAGCTTCAGCCGATGGTTACAAAATTGGTGTTTACCATTCTATTCTTCTTTTGACCAAATGTAATGTTTTTGTCAGGTACAGCAAGAATCTTCCTTTGCAAGTGTTTTCATGTCAAATGGTATCGTGTGAAATGAGTTTGTCATTTTTGTGTTTTGTCGTTTCTGTAACATGATTTTATTAAAAAGAAAAAAAAAACGTACATACTTAATTTGTTTTTTTCCATAACTGGTAGGCTGCCTTCTATGTGGCAATGAATGTTGACTGAACTATATGTCTGTGCTTGCCAGGGAAATCAGGCGAAGTACTCCCACAATGCCCTGGTGGTGCAGGCCATGAAGACAAACGTGATTGACCCCGACATGCACGTGCTCTTCTTCGACGTGGAGGCTGTGATAATCCAACTGCTGACGGAGGAGGCTCAGAGGCCGGCTTCGGTCATGGTGTCCCCGGAGACTCTGCAGAAGGCCCAGGCCGGCGCCGACAAGGCCGGCTCCTTCCTGGCCAACAAGATCTTCAAGCAGGTCAAGGAGACCATCAAGGAGAACATCAAGGAGCACCTGCTGGATGAAGATGAAGAGGAGGAAGAGGAGTTGCGGCGGCGGGAGGAGAAGTCGAAGTCTCTGAGCCTGCTGGAGTATAACCTGACCATGGACACAGCCAAGCTCTTCATGTCCTGTCTGCATGCTTGGGGGCTGAATATGCAGCTGGATGAGGTGTGTCTGAGTCGCCTGGGGATGCTGAAGCCTCACTGCCCCATATCCTTCGGCCTGCTCTCCCGCGGCGGCCACATGTCCCTCATGCTCCCAACGTTCAAGGAGTCACTGCTCCGCACTATGGCTGTGGGCCGCAAGATGTCCGTGTCGGAGATCGTGGGCAAGGGCACGTACGGCGTCTCCCGGGCAGTCACCACTCAGCACCTGCTGTCCGTCATCTCCTTAGCAAATACGCTGATGGGCATGACCAACGCCACGTTTGTGGGAGAGCACATGAAGAAGGCCCCAGCCAGGTATGGTTGTTAACCAGTTTTATTGGTTTTTTTTTGCCACAGAATTATGAAAACTAGAGGGGGAAAAACTGACATTTGCTAGGAAAGGTTCACTTTTTGCCCTTGTTTGTTCAATCCAGTTGGCATGAGGTAAGGAGTGTTCTGAAGTAAGATTTGTATGATGGAATCTGTTTCTTAACGATCGTCTCTTTTGGATGTTTGGGGATCAATGCCAAGTGTTCATCATTATTTGGGTCATGATGCATAATGCATTGAACCACATTCCTTGACTATATGTCTTTTGAATATTTCTAGATTGGATATTCCTACAGTTACTAAGTTAGCCTGACACATTTTTGGACCTCCTCTGCACAACTAAATTGAAAAATCATTCTTCTCTTCAAATGGCAGTTAGCCAAAATGTTTATGATGTCTATATATGCGTTTTGAAGTTTGTGGACAGCAACCCACAAACTTAGTTCCTTATTGAACTGAATGTTAATATTAAATGAAACCTGTTTACGTGTCTCCTACTCTTTTTAATGCTCTGGTGACACTGGTAGAGTTTAGTTTCCAAAAAATACATGAATAGCTGCCCATTTGTCATGCCGTAACCATAAACCCATTCATTCCAAGTCCATCGGTGTCGATTATGTCTTGTAGGCAAAGGTGAGATTCTGAATTTAGCCTGTTTTTGATGGTGACTGTTGTGTTTCCAGGCCTCCGAGACCTGGTGCCCCTGACTCTCTCAAAAAGCAGCAATCCCAGCTTTCCAGTCCGGGTATGCAAGCCCAGATAAAGCAAGGTAATTACTAAGTGTCCTCCCTGTTCGTAACGAGCAGCCAAAGTAAAAGCATCATCCATTAAACCAAAGTCCCCTCTATTCCTGCTAATGCCTTAATAACCCTTTTGGGACCAGAGGGTGGCCTTTTCGGTAGATTCTGAACATGGAGGCTCTTACGTATGCCTTTATGATGTGCCCTGTTGCAGTGGGGTGGTTTTGTGTTGGTTGTGTAACTGAGGTTGCTCTTGACATCCAGGGACACAGAGTTTAATAGTGTCCCTCCTGTAATCCAGCCAGCCCTGGAATGTGATCAGATTAACAAATACTGCAGATACAGTAGCACAGAGGCCTCTGAAGACCATCATTCCATAAATTAATTTTTGCTGGGCAGTATAAATAACGACCGTTTTGGAGAGAATTGGGAATACACTCCTTTGTCCTTGTTGGGACACAGCTAACAAAGAGTGGATGCCTTTTAGTACATGATATGTAGGCTTCAGTTTTTATGGCTGTCCATTAAATACTGAACCACTGCAGCACTATAGTATATCTGAACTCCTCTAAGATCAAGAGTAAAATGCTATTATACTGAACTAAGTATGTTGTACCCCAGCCTGGAATGAAAGCTTTGTGTTTTCACTTCAGTTGTCATGGTACAATTGCACTACTGGGATTCTGTCTACGGACTATGATCAATTATATAATGGAACATCGGAGTAACCCCCTTGATTTTGATATGTAATTTCTTCTGTGTTTTGGTGTTTATTTTACTTGCCTGGAAGATCTTTATGAAGGCAGTGCTGCTCAAAGTAATGATTTTTCTCTAAAATGTAACAGGCTTTTTAAAATCATGGTTTGGCTTGTCTATAGCTCATTACAATTTAAGCAGCCATTAAATACAGAATTGGGTTGGCACCTCACCCTGGGTTATGCCCTGCCTTGCGCCTTTTGCTTCTGGGTTCTGGACCCGCTCAACCCTGTGTAGGACAGGATGGATGGATGGATGGATGGATGATGGATGGGTGGCCATTAAATATCCATAACTCTTACATTTTAGTTTGTCCCCATAGTCAGACAAAATGTTGTTGTAGTAGATGCAATTAAAAAAAACTAATTATCCTTACTCACTTTCACATTATCAGCACAATACATTTAGAGGAGAATGTTAGGTAAGATGCAGAATGGAGATTGCTGTGTGTATTCGTGTGTTCATCGACATTTGACTCTTTGACACACCACACAGGTCACAGCACTGAAGACATTTTCCTAAATGCCTGAATGACAATTCGGTAGCATGATTTGGAAGTTAGAGGTCATGTCTGACACTGGAACTAGTCAATTTAGGAAAAAGTGCTGAAATCTCTCCGCAATCCTGAGCATACACAGGCCTCACCAGACAGCGGTGCCAAATACCTCAGCATGTATGATGTCTGCCTTGTTGTACTAAACGGACAACCGATTTGGAAAGTTGTTTGGTTAAATATTGTGCTAAACGTATGTTTGAAGTACAGTGAATGATATCTATTCATGAATGATTTGAAATGGCCATTATAGAGAAAAAGGTGATTTGAAGTGTGATGGATTTCTGCATGCTGCTGAGAACCATGTGAGGATTTATTAAAATGTCACATTACTCAGTCTTATCGCACCCTTCCTGGGCCTTTACAATAGAGGCGATGCCTTCCCGCATGTAGCGATGCAGTTAATGCTGCACAGGTTGGGTGAAGCTGGCGAATCAAAGCGGTTTGTCATGCAGATGCCCCTTGCGGACAAAAGGCCCTCTGAAAGACTCCTGAGCGCGCGGTCCATTCATACCACGTGCGCCTGGCTAACCGGGCCCCCGGACCCATTGTACGGCACAATGAGGCCAATCATGGGGATTAATTTGTGTCCACTTACGGGCAGCATATGGTGGTGCTCTGTAGACAGGGGTGTCACGTTGTCAGCTCTGAATCACGCTGCTTTCTTTCCGTTCACTCATCAGAAATGAGTGTCCACTTCTCTTTCATATGGTGATGTTTCTTTATTTACTCCCGGAACATGTAAAAGGCCATGAAACGAGTCGCTGCTTTAACACTTTCCAGTCCTTTTGTGTGATACTGAACTTAAATAAACATGACCATTTACCATTAGAAGCAAAAGTCAAAATACAATAATTTAAAGGAAAAAAATATGACATCGATGCAGAAGGTATTGTTAATCTACCTATTAATTCTGTATTAAAACAGGCTTAATATGGATATACTTTTGAGTGTTTCTTTTGTATCAAATATTAAAATGTTAATTATTGGAGTTGCCTCTAAGTTATTTAAATTGAAAGAACTGTAGAAATCTGTTCTATAGATTTGTAAGGGGTCCTACAGACAGGGAAAGTCTTTAGGATGCTTAGGAATGTGAAATTATTGATGGCATCTCATTGGGTTAATGACAGTGTGCTTCTGATATGGTTTCTCTTATTTTCTTCTTGTCATTATGTAAAGTCAGACTGGCTGCTCTGTGGCTTCAGCCCTGAATCTGCAGGCCTGAAAATTCACAGGTCTGTGATTTTGTAGGAGCAGACTGATACTGTAGGTCAGGTTACAGTTGCAATATTTCATTAAGTCTGTGTGTTGCATTGACCCTCTTAGCTCCCACCTAAACAGGATACTTTATACTCTTATAGGTACATATGTTTTTTTTTTTTTTTTTGGAAACCTCTTTCTCTAATCATCAATTATTTACATTATATATTAATGTAGTACAATAGAAAATGCAAGCAACCTTTATTGATGTTTGTGCTATTCTTGATAATTGCATTTTATGGTGGTCTGTGATAAATATTTCATTTAGTACACAATAACAGTGGTACAAAATATAGATGTTAGTTGTTATATCGATGTTAATTGCCAGCTGAACAGATTTCAATTACCTTGGTAATTCTTTGTGGTTTTCATTGCATATAAATATTTTTTTTCCTTTTATTGCCATTGGCTCTTTGCAGGTTTTAGCGAATAAATACGACAAATAGGACTTTGGGATCCTTTCCCCTCCCTCTTCTGTCTTGTCACTCTGGTGTTCTTCGTACTAATGCTATTTCTCCACTCCTTTGGAAACTGATGAAGTATTTTCTTTCATTTTTTATTTTGTTGGTTTTCCTTTTCCTGTTCTCTACTTATCTTTCCCTCATCTTTGCAAGCTGCTGCCGCTGTTGCTGCTGCCGCTACCGTCACTCCTACAGCTGGCTCAGGGCTTGTCCCCTCGGGCCCTGCTTTCCATACTTGTCCCTCAGTCAATGAAGGTATTTTTCTGCAGTCTCCCCAGCATCTTCTGCAGTTTGTTTCCCCATCTATCATGTGCCCCCCCCCCATGCTTCTGTCTCTCCAATCCTCTAGTGTTCTGTCTATGGTCCTGTACTGGTGATCGTGATGTCATAATCATGCAGGTCTGCATGCTTGCTTTTAACGTCAAACTCTGAGCCAAACTCTCAGCCAGGCTTGTTCTTCAGCTGGGTCTCCCGCTATACCGGTACACGCATTGGACCATTTTGTTAATATTCCTGAATGGTCCACTGTCCATGTCAGAAAGAGGCAGTTTCGTTCTGTACCTTTTCTTAAACATGGATTGATACCATTCTGTGACTTAGAAGTGTAACCTACCGATCTTTCTTTCGGGTATCAGATTCATATAAATCTTTTCTTTACATTTTTGAGATTGCCATATTGGTGTAATCCATTTCTTAAGATTGGATTGTTTCCTTAATTTTCATTTCAACCTGCTTTGATGAAGTATAACTTTGGCCATCTGTGAAGAAGCAAGCATGTGCACTTAACTTCAGTGTTTAAGTGAATAGTGCGTTATACAGAAATTGTATAGTGGAACAATGTAGATATAAAATGTGTACATTGTCAGAAAGATTACCTTCTCTGTTCTGCTGTAATGTAGGTAACTTCACAAGTTCTTTAGAACCGAGTGGATACCGGAAATAAAAAGTTTGTGTTAGTATTCAGTTTTTTTACATGAATATGCCTGTTTTAAAAGATGTAAAGGTTTTGTATATAGCATACTGTGTATATGTGTGATATATAATTTGTATATACATGTAAAAACCTTTACATCCATGCTGCAAGGTACTGAAAATCTGTGTGAGATTTTGGTATATGCAGAGTAACCATGATTCTTAACATGGAAAAAGGTGACTGAAAAACAAGCAGTAATTCTTAATAATAAGTTACAACTTCTAAAAATCTAGCATTTATAACTCTGTTTAGCAGTTATATTATACAGTACTTCATTTTAATATACCGTTGGTAAGTTAATGTTGGTTGCTACATGTCAGTACTGCAAACTGGACATTGACCGTTCACTCTTAAATGTTTTATAGTATTAGTGCTTATACGTAATTTTTCGTGACTGAAGGTAAGTTTTCTGGACTGTTCAGTTTGTTCTTTTTCAATGGTATGTGCAGTGCAGTGAAAAAGTAAGTACACTCCTTAAAATTATTTTTCAACATGTTTTTACAAAGTTTTCTTTTAATCTTCATTTGAACAGTATTGATAAATGACCATGATGTCATTTTTCAAACAAAAGTAAAAGTTTGGCCTTAAATCGATTTATTAAACAGAATAAAGCTTTTTCTCTGTGGGGGAAAAAGTAAGTATATCTTTACGTTTAGTACTTTGTATTGCCGTCTTTAATAGAAATAACCTCTTGAAAGCATTTTTTTCTAACTATCAGTTTTTCCATTGACCTGGAGAAAATTTTGCCCTTTCCTCTATGCAGAAATCCCTTTGCCATGTGACTCTGGAGGGCTTTCTTGCATGTACGGCCCTCTTCAAGTCCCCCATTGCATTTCAGTTGGACTGAGATCCAGACTTTGACTTGGCCAATCCATAACGCTCCACTTCTTTGGAATGAGCCACTGTTGCGTAGATTTGCTTATATGTTTGTAATCATTCTAATATTAAATGAGCCACTTATGGTTCATCTTTAAGGTTTTGACAGATGGACTTGTATTACTTTCAAGCACTGTCTGGTCTGATGTTGAATTAGACACTATGATGGCGAGCTGCCCGGGACCTGAGCCTGCCCAGTCCCCCAATCCAAAACAGTCCCCCTCCCAAGTTTGTAGTTGGTATGAGGTTTTTAAACAGCGCTACCTTTGATTCATCATTTCAACACACATTGTGTTATGCCTCCTGCTGGTGCTTTATGGAAAACGTGTTAATGTGTGTGTGTTCTTTTGAGGCTCCTTCCCTGCTGATCATCCATGTAGATCATCTTTGCTGTGGGTGTGCTTACGTTGTCACGGCACTGAACATGCATTTAAAAAATGTGGACCTTTTTGGTGTGCAAATTGACTTTTTTTCCCCCCCATACGGTTTTAAGAAATGGTTCCTTTGCATGCTTCAGAGTGTTTGGTATATTTGTGATGGAAGGACACACTGGACAAACATCTCAAGATCTTGCCTACAAAATCTTTGAAATCTGCCAGTTGTTCCTTTGGTCCTTGAACGTTCAGGGTATCGGTTTGGTGTTGGTGTTCCTCAGACATCAGTCCGTGCGGCTGTTTGGGGGTGTGGAGTCATGTGAGCCATGTTTGAACCAGCAGCGATGCCTGTTGTCCTGACAGGTTGGAGCCAGCTGGCCGCGATGCACTGCGTGATGCTGCCAGACCTCCTGGGCCTGGACAAATTCTGCCCTCCGCTCCTTGAAATGTTGGCCCGCCGGTGGCAAGACCGATGCCTTGAGGTGAGGATTTTGGAGGGGCGATAAGCCTCCTCAAAGGAAGAGACACTTGCGTAAATTTCCTGGTCGGTTTCCTGTCATCTTTTACTTAATGTCCTTGTTCCCTGATCTCTTATTAGGGGGAATATGTTGTGTGGCTCTGTACTACTACTTCGTACATATAACGGCAGCTGGAAGGAAACAGATCCGTTGTGTGTTCGGAAGTGAGTAGGCATGTAACTATTCACTTCAGTTCATTAAATTGGGTTCACGATTCAATCTTCCCACTATATAAAAAAAAAAAAAAAAAATTAAATCAAGAAAATTTTTATTACCAAAAAAAGCCACATTTTCCCATTTCTTTTTTTTTTATCAACTAAAATATTTCTAACAAATTAAAATACTTTTTTGTTTCCTTTTCTTAATAATCAACAATAACTATTTATAAACATTTGTAAAGGTTGGAGTAAAATATAGCAGCCTATTAACTAAAATGTTGGTTTTATTAAAAATGTAAAAAATTCTGCAGGTTGCATTAGTTGGTTGCTGGTAAGGAGGCATGTTATTGTGCTATTGTGTGTTATTAAACCACACAGTTATAGCTAGGAAAAACCAAGAGGTTACGTAGCCTAATAATAATTTGAGCTGTTTCGCGTTTCTTTTTTTCATTCCACGTTTCGAATCTTCATAAATTTGTACCGCGATTTATCCTTGCACAGCATATTATTACATGCCTGGAAGCGGCTCCTACGTCCTTCTTGTGCACTCTGCTTGTTTGCAGATCTCCACCTATAAGCGTGTAGCATCCTGCGCTCCGTTTACAGGGCACTTGTTAATAAACGAGGGTAATGAGCTTAATAAACTCATCTCTTTGGCAGAAATTCCTTCAAGTGTTCAGCTGTGTGTGGATAAAGGGCAGCAGACCTTGAACCTTTATTAGGATTCGGGCCATTAGCAGCTCCATACTCGCTGCATAGTCATTGTCCTCCTCTTATTAAGGTTCTGCTGCATTTCACGGCACCATGATTCCTCATTCTACGGAGAAACACAAAAATCACTGTGTGTTCCGCAGTAGCAGAGATACAGCGTATCTTACATTTCTGCCTAATACTGTATTGCTGGTGACATTTCCAGTTTAGTAAAGTTTCTGTTTTAAATCCATAAAGCTAACTTGACTGTAAAGCTGATGAATTTGTCCCTTTATTATAGAACAATACTCTATTTTACTGTTGTACCTAGTTGCTCAGAGGGTAGTGCTGTTGCTTCACACCTCCACAGTTGGGGGTTCAACTCCTGTTCCCACTGTTTGTGTGGCGTTCGCATGTTCTCCCTGTGTCAGGTGCTGTCCTCTCAATATTCCGCTTCTCCTCCCATAGTCCAAATACTTGCAGGTAGGTGCACCGATGATTGATTGCCCATATCTGAAAAGCAAATGTCTGAAATTTCCCTTCATCCACGTGATACATTTTTGAGAATTTCTGTGGACTTAGTGAGCTTTGAAAGCTTTAACAAAAGTTCTTTATGGGATTACATGAGGAATTGAGCGAGGTTTTTTTGGTTCTCAATATCGTAACGTGTGTGCCCTGCGATGGACTGGCATCCCATCCAGGCTGTGTTCATTCCCTGTGCTCTGTGTCTCCCCCACAGTCCCGTACTGGATGAAGTGTGACTTGGTGGTGCAGTATGTGCTGGATTAATGTGCCGCCTTGTGTTTCGTTAAGGTCAGGGAGGCCGCACAGGCCCTGCTGCTTGCGGAGCTGCGGAGGATCGGTCAGTCAGGCAGGAAGGACACGATTGACCTGTGGGCTCCGTATTTGCCGCAGTACGTCGACAGCGCCAGCTCCCGTAAGTATGCCTGAAACTTTCAAAAGCCTCTCTAATGATTTTGTAAGATTTCTATCCAAGCTTAACCTTTTCAAAACACATATTGCCGAGATTTTTATGGAAAAGTTTATTTGCAATTTATCAATTGACTGCTGAATGATATTTTTGACTGAAGTAGTTTTAAGAAAAAAATGCAGTTTGTTTGCTTGCTTGTCAATTTTTAGTAACCTGCATAATTATGACTCATAAGGCGAAGAGCTATAGCGCTGAACACTGTGCCTGGACATTTTCTGTTTAATATGAAACATATAACGCAAGGGCTCCTGGGACTTTGTATGCCTCAATGCAGGACCACTCAAAGCATTAACCAATTAGCTTGACCGTGGCCATTTCTTCTGTTGGCTATCAGGTTTTATTTACTGGTTAAGCAAATTACGTCAAGTAATAAGCAGACACACATCCATAAATGCCGTCTGCATGAAAGTGTTTGGTTTGAGTAACTGCGGAGCAAATTCGATTGTATAGGTAGTTCATAGATTTCATGCTGTTCCCAAACAATAAAGCCAACAAGTGAAGTAACTGATAAGGTCATGAGCCTCCATCCATTGGGAACCGGCCGGTAAATAATTAATTGTGTGAAGGGTAGAATGAAAGCGGGCATCAGTGTCACACTGTTTACCCATCATGACTTAGAAAGAACATTTTATATCCATTTCTTAGTAAAGGAAAAAAAGTGAAACATGATTATTGTGACTAGCTGCAGGAAAAAAAATTACGTGTTCTGCCTTGTTTTATTTTGGCCACGCCCACAGTGACCTTTGTCCAATCCTGATTGACCGGGCACCAAGGCCATGTTTTTACAGGGAACTACGGCAGTCAAATACAACATAACATTTTTTAGTGTTTCTTGACGTGCAGACATAACAAAAATGCCCTCTATGTAGCTGGTTTTAACTGCTTGACGACCCCTTGTTCTGCATGCTCTGTGGACAGTGAACAATGTGTAAACGCTTACAGTAGTTCAAAGCAACGTGAGTTCAAAGCAGATTTTTTTTCCTTCTGATAGTACTTGCAGGACTGCTGCTGAATTGTACTACACACTAAATCAAAACTGCCCATGAATATATGGGGTGGTTTTTGTTAGCAATCATTTCTGAATCACCAGTAACCTTATGTAATATTGGTTTAAAAGGAAAATAAATTTCATGTATTATTAAAAGTTTGGTTTAAACTATTCTAATGTTACTCTCTCTGACTGACAGATTGCACTGGTTATTTGATAGATCAGTGATCAGTTTCTAGATTCTGAATGAGTTGCATTTTTTAGACTGTCACATGTTTACTAGCTTACATGTGTATCAAAAATGCAAAGATTGTACAGTGGTACCTTAGAACTCGAACTTAATCCGTTTAGAACTCCGGATCGAATCCTAAAAAGTTCGAGTTCTGACCGAATTTTCCCCATAAGAAATAATGGAAAACCAATTAAATGGTTCCCGGCCCCAAAAAATTAAACATAAATATGTTTTTTTTTAGCATTTAAACACAAAATGAACCGGATAAAACAAGAAGAGCATTTACTGTACTAAACACATCTAAGCACATTAATCAAAACAGTAATTTTTAAAGTAAGAAAATAAATGTATCCAAACGATGTGTCCTGCCCCGATCGTCCGCTCCTTCTGTGTGCCACGCCCCCTAATTAACCCCGTGTGGAATTCCCGTGTGATCAGCTGTTTCTGGTTGTCATTAGTCCTCTGCATTTAGTCTGCATTTCAGTTTGTTTCCCTAGTCCAGTCATTGTATTGTCCGTCTGCGTTTTGCCTGCCTTACCTGTAATTAAACCCCGTATTCCCCGATAACCTGACGTCTGCGCCTTTGTCTCTGTTCTGTCCCCGCTTGGCGCGACAATATTATTATAATTAAATGTATTAATGGTTTATTATTAATATAAAAATAATTAATAAGAATTCTTTATTTTTAAATGTGTTTTATTATATAATAATTACTGTTACTGTCTATCATTGTCTAAATGTATTTTTACTGTATAAATATATGTATTCAGCTAGTGTAAACATGCACAATGCTATCACACCGAATGCGAGGCTGAGACTGAAGCGTTACCCTTTGTTTCCGCTGAGAGATGTGCCGCGTGACTCATTTCCCCATGCATACAAGTTATCTTAGGTCGGCGTTCACGGTTTGACTTCTGAGATTCAGATAGAGTTCTAGGTATTTTTTTTCAAACTGGTTGGTCCGACTTTTAAGAAATTCGAGTTCTAATGAGTTCGAGAACTGAGGTACCACTGTACTTGTGATCTGGGCAAGACCGATCTTGCTAACTTGCCTCCCAGGAACGAACTTGGGGTGCAGTGAATCATGAGATTGCATACTTGGCAAATGAAACCAATGAATGTAGCCTTGATATTTGTGACGAGGCAAAAACGACAACAAGGATTTTTTACTGTCCTCTGTACTTCTGTTCTTGAGTATTTCGACTGGTCTTCTGCAATGGAAGATGATGTCAAACAGGTACATGAAAACAAAGTACGGTCAAGTACGCATTTAGAAACACCCAGTGTGAGTGTGTGCCCTGTGATAGACTGACGCCAGCTCGCAGTTTCCTGGGAATCCTCCAGGCCCACAGTAGTCCTGCACTGAGTAAGTAGCTATGGTTTTGCCTGCTTCCTCTCCACCTTCTCATGGGTCCCATTTAAGATTCATGCCGCAACCTCTGCATTCAAGAGGTTTCTCCTGTACTCGCCAGGTTTTTCTTTCTGGAAGTCGAGTTGTCCGCTGTCAGTATCTGACAAGTAGGGAAGGTGGCCCCCGCCAGCAGGGGAAGGAGCTCAGGGGAGCGGCTGTCATGGCAACAGGAGCTGGCCAGTGTAGTGTTACGGGGGGGGGGGGACAGAGGTTGCAGGGTTACTGAATCTGATCTCCTTTGTTTGGGATGGGACTGCTGCTTCTCTGGGCCTGCAGTACCAGAGGCCTGTCCCTTGGCACTGGGGTGGGGGGTAGGGGGGTCTTGGTTTTTGGGAAATTGGTTCTACATGTATCAGTTTTTACAGGGTTTTCACAGTTGAATTGAGTAGGTCTGTAGCTAATGTATGTCTACATATATATTGAGTGCATAAATGTGTAATGGATACATTGCACCTGCATTGTATCTAATGCATATAGTAGAAAATTATAATTTTATATTTTTATGGCTCAGTACATTTTGACATTATGGAGTTTGAAATCTCAGCTGGATCCTTTGCTCTGTATTTTGCATTCTATAACTTTCATACAATTTGGATTGTGAACCTTGTTATTGTTTAGATACTTTGCATTTAGCTTACTAAATACTTACAGAATAGTTGTAAAACAATCATGAATATTAGTTGCTTCCTGAGTGCTGTTGATCACGTGAAAACTCACTGAGCTTATTTTATATTTACAGATTACTTAAATCAGTATGCAGTTTCTAAATATGAAATGTTTTTAATTCACTTTTAAATAAGAATCAGATTATGAAGTTGCTTAAAGCAATTTGCAAATTTTCCTGGAAAATTTGTTGAAAATGAGATTGACCCATTTGATCTCATATTAATATCCTATTAAACTGAGAACTGAAATGAATTTAAATACTGTGTTGTGCCCTAAGCCATGATCTGTACAGGTAAAAATGTGCTGAATTTGTAAACCAGTACAACAGCATGTATGTTCTGTAAGCACTGTGTGAGGGCCAGCAGCCTCAATAGCATTTAATTGTTTTTGGTCTATGCCATGTGATCGCCCTGTCATGCTGCTTCTAAATCAACGCGCGCTTAGGTAGGGAGGCTAAAAGCAAGCGGGCACAGGAGTAATACAATCTTGAGAGAATAGTTAACCTTGAATGCTATCGGCATGAATATTCAGTATCTATTATTGTTACAGGAGGGATTCTGTAGCTTTAGAAATGTTCTGCTTCTTATAAAAGAAGATGAGGATGGAGGGTAGGAAATGCTGCTCCATTGTTGCACAGAGGCACGTTTTAGCTGTGTGTTTTCTTGTTGATTTGTAGTAGTTTTTGGTTTTTTGGTTCTGCAAAAATTAAATGAGGATTTTAAAAGAAATGAGGATTTCTGCCTTGGGTTACTTCACACCCAGTAATAGATTATTTGTCAAATTGAATTATTTATGTTAATGTGCGAAGCTGGATGCCATTGACTAAGCTTCAGTGCAGGGATGCCTATAGTCCAGTGTCTCCCAATCTAGTCTTCCCAATGTGGACTGTCTGGCAGGGAGCTGGGAGGGAGCAAAAACGTGGACCGGCTGTGGGTCCCTGAGGATCGGGTTGGGAAACACTGGTCTAGTCCAACAGACAGATTGGAAGCAAGATCGCTGATCCAGTCAAATGGGCATCAAGGAGAAGCTGAGGGTCTCCATTCAACCTGTCTCCCATCAGCCTCCTGCTTTAATACAGCCCACTTAGGATTCAACAAAAAGGAGACAGGAAGCAGATGTTCAGCTATTTGATCTCATTAAATAGACAGGCAGCTTGTAGGAATTCTTTCTCTTCTGTGGATGTCCATGCTGAAGGTGTAGAGAGCTCTCTCTCCTTCCTGCTGCTCATCTAGCCTGGCCACCTGCTTTGGTGTCTTTGCTGTACTCTCCAAGTTATCCTTTTACATTTGCAACTGTAGCAGTTACTGTTTAATAAATGGGAGAATAATTCCCAGAATATCACTGTTTGATCGCTTCCAGCCTCGCAGTACAGAAGTGCTATAATAAGCCTGGTTATTAAATGTGAAAAGGACATTTTAAATGAAAAGCACTAAAACATTTGACATCTGTTACACTGTCCCAGTGAGAACCAGAAAGATGATTATGCAGCTGGAAGCAGATATTTTTGCTTCTCCTTCCTACTTATGTCTTTTTTGACTCTCTTCCTTATTTGTATGCTTGTGCTTCGGTGGGTGTGAGAAAGCATAGTCTATACATGTAATGCCGTCGGGGAACTGGTCTTAGATCGATAAACAGGGTGCGGGGGGAATTAATGCAAGACGGGCAATCCTCTCTCTCAATCATACTGAGAGAGTGAGAGAAATGGGGACGGGAGGGAGAAAATGAGACCTGAAAACCAGGCAGAACAAGTATGTGGTTGTATTTGTCTAGAAGTACACCGTGCTATACACAGATATGTAATGCAGGGGATTAATCTCCAGATTAATCTTCTCCATAGATCTTTGTGCTCTGTCATTGCAAAGGAGCATCTTTCATTGCACTGAGATGAGCCTGACACATTGTCATAGGTACTCGTACCCCAACCCCCGAGTCACATGACGTGGAAATGGCTCCCTTGAGGTGGAAAGAAACTGAGTGTATTGCCTTGAAAGACAAAGCAGAGAGTTTAAGCAGTTTAAGTGAACAGCCAAGCGTCTTTCCAGCTAAGTGCTGACGATGTCAAGATGTGATTTAAGCCTGTGTAAGAGAAGGTGGAAATTCATAATGGAAAATTAATTGTATTGCCTTTGAAAAATGTACCCTCAAGTTAGACCATCAAGTTACCCTCACATAAAAAACGGCTAAAGTCATACTCACTAATGCTTGCAGAAAAGTTTGTTTGCACAATAATTTTTGCAGGGAATTACTCATGTGCAATAAACACTAAATTCTTAATATCCTGAAAAAAGTCAAAAAAAATTTATATGGCAATTACACAGAAAGAACTGTTTGCAGTGATCCTTCACCCTACCTTTCTGCTCAACCATCTTCTATACCAGGCACCAACCCATGTCCCACCAATGTTTGTCATTACGTAGAATGATGTGAGAACTGCCTTAAAAACACAACAGCGACAACCACACTGCGGGTCCAGATTAGCCCTTTCATACACTGAAATGTTTAATGCCTTGTTACGATAGTGTTCAGTCCCATGATGTCTCAGGCAGTCCAGTGTCATCCGTATCACCTCCTTATCCTTAACTATCTGCAAATGGACTTGTATTTTTTCTCATCAGACAGGCAGGTCTGTTGCAGTTGCAGTGGCTGTTAGTCTGCCACCTATCCATCACATGCCATAACATCAGCGAGCTACAGCTTTTTACTGCCTTCGTTTTGGCTTTCAAGATGATCAGTTCAGTAGTGCTTTTTACAAGCTGCCATTTTGATGTTTAGTTCTTTGAATGTGCTACTGGTAGAAACAGAATACAGACTGATGACACTTTAATTGGTCTAATTTACAAATGACAATGAAACTGTCATCAGCAAAAGGTTGCTCAGGCAGTAACTCATAGGTGCTCAAACAATGACCTCCAGTGCACTGGAAGTAATCATCCATCCATCCATCCATCCATCCATTTTCTATACTTCCTTCTTTTATGCAGGGATGGTGCAACAGCCCTTCACAGTGCACACATACTATTTGGAAGCAATCATAGACTTCTAAAAAAACACAAAAATCCAAAACCATTGTCTTAAAATCAGTAACCAGCCAACCATAGGCTTGGGAGTTCCTTGGAAAACAAGATAGTGCTTCCCTGAAATGGGACTTGATGACCAGGTGCATGGTAACAAAGCTCCAGTGGTGATGATCTGAAGGAGCGCAGAATCAGGGTGCTATACAGACATCGTACGTACGCAGACTTCGTAACTGTCAGGCATGGCAGAGAAGCTAGAGTGTATCGTATCCAAGGCATCGAACTTCACAGGATGCGACATCCCATCAGGTAACTGCCTCTGCAGCAGACAGATTGCACTAAGGGCCATCTCAATGAGCTCTGATGTCTCTCATCTAGCTCAGCACCTCTCCCAGAACCTCCCAACTGGTACTTCTCTGACCTACAAAATTGCACATTTAGAAAACGATGTTATTTTTTCTTTCTGTCCTAAGACTAAGTACTTTCCCCTTAGAACCTGTCTGTATTGCAACTCTATATTATACTTTTAACTGTATTATATTTAACTTACAACAGCTGAAATAACTGCACCATATTCCCCGCTATATTTCCTTTATCCACAATTCTGCAGTTGTGGCTTTAGTGCGAGATGTAGTGTGTTAGTCTTGCTGTGAATATCTTACACCTTGTTCCCCGTCTTTGTCTTGTCTTCTGTTGTTGTGCTGGACGAAATCCGAGTTCCACCATTCTGGTTGCACGGTAATAAAATTGATGCTAAATCCTGTATTTGGGAGTTTCTGTGTGTTGGAGGACATTCCCAATGAAAGCTCACCCTGTCTCTCTAGCTCTGACGCTAGTTTAGTCATTAACTTCTGAAGAATATCTCTGTACAGAAGAACTTTCACCTGGGTAAGATTTACTTGGTTAAAAAAAAAAATCAGGTAAAGCCATTTTTCTTTAGATATGTCATTGGTTGCTTGTGGGGTTAATTGAAACATTAAAAAATGTGTTCTCTGGGGGACTGCGATTAATCGGTCTGGCCCTCCATTAAGTAACCCTCGGTTCGTGAGATGTATTAGAAATGCGGTTGGTGGCAGCAGGCCGTTGGAGACTCACCCGAGCTCCATGTGAATTCTCTCTCAGTTCTCACCTTTAATGGAGGCTTTGCAATTAAAAATGGATGGAACCTTTTGCTCCTGTTGTAACGAGAATGAGGTACTAATTAATACAATTTTAAGGTTGTGCTCAAAGCTGCATTTATTGGATTCATTTCCCAGATTTGTAATTGGTGGTAATAAATATTTCTCTTAAAGATCCAAACAGTGTATCTGTCTATTTTTGCCCAAAATGTTATAAAGAACATCCTTTTATTGATGAGATGACAGAATTCCATTTCAGGTGATGCTGCTCTGTCCTGTTGCAATAATACAGTATGTAAAACAAAAAAAAAAACACATTGTTTGTATGGGTATTGCGAATGTTGCTTTTTAATGCTCTCATAGTTTTTGATTTATCTGTTTATGCTGTTGGTCTAGGAAGAGTGGTATCTCATTCTTGATTGTATGAAAGTACATGATAAAATGACAATAATGGATATCTCTTAAATCTTAAGATGGTGCGCTTTACTATTTTTCTGTTTGCTTGACCTGGCCTGTATGTTTCTATTGCAGCAGGAACATCTACGGAAAATGTCCAAGCCCCGCCTCCACCAGCTGAGCCCCAGTCTGTGGAAGTGAAGGCTCCAGAGGAGGAGCTGGATGCCACTGATGATGACCTCACTACTGGTAGGCCTAAAACAAAAAGAATATCACCCCCTCCCCCCCCCCCTTTTTCCTTGTTAAAATACAGCCTGGTTGATAGATGGATGGACAACACAAGACAGGACAGATGTGGATGAGACAGATAGATTTAAAACCGTATTTTTACAAGGAATATGTGTAAATATGTCTCTTGTTCTTTTTATTGCTTTTACCTACCACCCCTGAAAGATTTAATGTCCGGGTTCTGTAAGAATTCAAAACTGACCTTCTGGTTACACTGAGTGCTGCACAGGGGAAGGTTACTGGGCTTGTTAATGCTCTTTACGAGAGAGTGATTTGTTCGCACAGCTGTAGATTGCATCCAAGACGCACCGTCATTGGCTCGCCCCTCTTCTATCGATCAGGAAAACCTGTCTCCAGTATCTAATGTGGTTAAGTGTTGTCTTAATCTATCTCAAATGGCCTATTCCTTCTTACAACAAAGGTGCTAAACATTACCAGCTTGTCTCGTCAGAAGAATGATGCCACTGGTCATCCCATGGGACAAGCTGCTCTCAATAGAAAATGCTTTTTGTTCTCTCTTTCATAAATATGGTTTTCTTGTTTTAAGACCTAGGCTTTAACCTTGTGCTCATGTAAGCAGTGCCAAGAAGTCATAGTGCCTATGGGTTGTCGGATCAAGGAATGTAGCAGCAGTACTCCACATCTGTGGCTTAGAATATAGTAGCACTAATTGTGTAAGAGAGAGACAAAAGCTTACATGCTAAGCAGGAAATGAGAAAACTGAAGAATTTTTTCTTTTGACTAAATGCTATGTTACATGAGTAAGTGGTAAACACTGCACCACTGTATTACCCCTTATTTATTTATTTTATTACAACAATAACAATAAAATGTTGACTTGTAAGCACCTTTTTGTATTTACTGCATCCAAGCATTTTTGGTTTATGCTTGGTACATTTCAGGTTCCAGAAATGATCCTTTCTTTTGCAGCTTCAAATTCTTTTGTTAGAATCTCCACGCCCCATTGATGTTGCCTACACATCCTGCTAAAACACTGTACCATAAAGAAGAAACTGTCTGTAGGGTTCTTAAATGGTTTGTAGGGGTTATGTGATTAAGCATCACAACTTATTTTCTTTGATAAGTTGTAGAGCATATTTGTGTTTCTTAGGACAAATAAACATGTAATTATACCTAAAAAAATATTTTGAAACTTGAACATGGAACCTTGTCAGATAGCAAGATGTACTCTTCCAAAATGTGGATAGTGGTTCTCCTAAAAGGTAGCAGATTTGCTTCCTAGACTTTAAAAGTTTGTTGTGAGGTGTATTACCCTTTTTCATGTTATACTCAGAGACTGGTTATTAGAGGAATAGCAGAACCTTATCCAGATGCAACAGTCGCAATGATTAAATCCCAATTGAAAGTGGCTTTGATCTGCTGCAGCTAGGGCTTTGAGTTCCCGCCACGGAGTTGAGTGGTGACAGTAGCCCGTAAGCGCTGCCAGACCTAGTCTAAGCTCTTTAAAAGGATCCCAGCGGGTAACTTTGTTGCGTGGTTGACTTCTGCTGCATGCCTGATGTAGATCCAGGGAGCCTTCCATCTGTGGGGGGTGACAGATGGTCTTAGCTGGGGTGCACACCCCAGGCATGAGCCCATGGCTAATGGGTGGGCAGGCGCTGCTTCACTGGCCACACCTGTCACCCGCCACCCAATGAAACGGAAGATCCCCAGGAAAGGCACCATTGCAAATGCTGAAGATTGAATAAAAGTGCCTGCCACTGAAAGATCCTGAAGTGGACATCTTGAACAATGGCTTTTGAGTCAGACTGAGTGCTTCACACTGGCCAAAGACAAATGAGTGAAGGGCTTTTGTCACAACAGCACCTGCTGCACTCTGGGGTTCACAATTTTCTAATAGGAAGTACTGGATAGATGAGAGTCACAGTTAGGTTAATCATAGTTTAGTTGGTTTATATTCTTCCCCTATTGTATATTCTTACCTTATTGTATGTGCAATTGGTAAAAATATATTGTTTTAACTGGAGTATTGACATAGGAGAAGAGGGTCATGGGTGGGCACTGGCTGCTATATTTGGTAGGGGGAGAGCCTTTCATGGCCAGCGTAGGACATAAGGCAAAGGAACACCCCCAGATGGCATTGCAGGCCTATGTAGGGCACTTATTATGGGCAGCTTTCGAGATCATCTGACTGTATGTGTGTGATCTGCTGGGGGAAACACTGTACCATTAAGAAGAAACTGTCTGTGGGCTTCATAAATGGTTTTTCAGGGTCATGTGGTTAAATATCACTATGTAGTTTCCCATCGGAAATCCCCTCCACAAACACGAGGAGATCATACACATTCCAAATACGACTCCCCAACCCTGCAGTGCTAACCTCTGAGCCAATGTGCTAATTCACGTGTGTTACTACCCAAATAAACACCCATCTGCCCGGGGATGTAGCACAAGGCATGATCTGCTGTGAAAGCGATGGATAGATGCTTATGTGGTATTATGGGAATACGGTATTCCACAGTATTTTGGCTATTCCACAGTATTATGTGAGAGAATGAGAGAAAGGGAGGGGGGAGATTTAAAAATCCTGGAATAATGTTGCTTTTGGAAATACCATCAAAATACCGTGTACTGCAGTATAATGTCAGGGCAGTATGACTATTAAACATTAGATACCGCCCAAGAAATCTCCAACTCTGCAATATACATACATTGAAAATGTTGCATTAAGATTTATAAGTGGCCAGTAGTTATTTTCAGAACTTATTGCCTTTTTTGACTTTGGTTTATGACATTCGCATCTACTTTGTCATGTGCACAGCTAACGGTGAGTGTCCACCTGAAAATGGGGGGCAGCAGTGAGCATTACGGTCCCTAGTCTTGGACCTGAAGGGCAAAGTTCCAGTCCAGTTTAATATAATTACAGTAAAATCCCGTTATAGTGGACTCGCTTATAACGGAATATCGTCTATAACGGACGAGGTCCACTGGTCCCGGCTGTGCGCCTTTAAGAACATGCAGAAAAAGCATCGAATATAGCGGACTCGCATATAAAAGAATTTCGCTTATAATGGAAAAACAATTTGGTCCCCAGGGCCGCTTTTAGCTGTAGTTTTGTTCGGCTATAACCGACATGCAGCTCCGCCTACAAGGCGTGTGGCGTGCCGGTGATATCCAGCGCAGATACGTAGTCGGGATTATTAATAGTCACGCATCTGGTCAGGTAAAGTTGGATTACTACATGTACAATATAATAATCTATACCACAAGTGTGTCTGCTGAGGTGTGGCATGAGTAAATGGTGTCCTGTAGTTGTGTTCTGGGCATACAGCAACTCTGGATATAACTGACTGTTTTGCCAGGTCCCTTGAAGTCCACTATAACTGGATTTTACTGTATTATTTTTAATATAAAGCACTAGATTAGTCTGATTTGCCACCCATTTATTATTATAATTTGATGTAATAGACAATATTGCTCAGTGTGGAACATGCTGGTCATGGCTTGTAATTTTAACTGCAAGCCCCTCTTGACTATGGAAACATTACCACTCCGGTTGCCCTTTCCTAACCTTCAAATGAATTACCGTTGATTCAAAATTTGATTAAAAATCCTTGTTTGCAGACAGCTTAAAGCCTAATTGATTGGAAGCCTAATAGTGTGTTGGGTATTAAGCAGCAGAGATTATTGATAAATCCATGTGCCAATGGAGCGTGTTGAAAGTGAAACGCACTGGCTTTGCTGGTGTCCAGCACGCTGCTTCACAGAGCAGCCCTGGATTGTTAAGTCTTTCACCTCCCAAACTTAACACTGCTTAGCGACGGCACGGCAAAGTGCCCCTTTTCAAACAATCTGCGGCGAGTCCAGTGTTGACTAAGCGATGATTTAAAGCTGGTCTTCCTCTCGGCCACCTGCACCATTCTCAATAGAACTCAATGGCCCAGTGTCCCCTATTGAAAAGTCATGATGGCTAAGGATGTTCCTTTGAATAGACAACATTTACTGAAGTAGTAATAAGGGCAAGTGCCCCATAGAACGTCAACTTAAAGAATGCATTACATGTGTTAGCAGTGTAGTTACAAGGAACAAAGCCCAAGGACATGGGTACAGATGTGCAAAAGCACATGGCTGTTCCTTCACTGGCCTGTGCATTTGCGTGTGTTACTCTGCTCACACAAAACCACCACAAAAGCCAGTGTGAGATTCACATTAACACCTTTCCCTTATTTACCAATTTCAGAAATTCACATAACAGCAGGATAAATATAATCTAATATCAGCTTTTATTTGTAATACATTAAGTGCCTATTTGTTAAAAACTTCCAGTGTTAAATATGAATCTGGCTAATGCTACGTTCACACCGCAAACGTCAAAGACGCCAGCCGTCGCTCCCGCCGCCCTGAACGCGACGCTAGCCAACGCCGGAGACGCTCTCTGACGTCATAGAGTGGGCGGGGACAAGGCCACTCAGAATGCCAGGCTCTGAGAACTTTTTAACGACAGTTCTACTAAAACACATAATTATGTTTTGACAAACACTAATG